CCGTTCATCACGTAACTGACCTTAACAAAGAATCTAAACGTCATTAGTGAAAGTGCACTCTAATGTTCCTCTAGATGTCAAAGGTCTTTTCTGATGACGCACATGCTTTATTACCTTCTTGTGTTTAACTAACTATATTTTATATAACATTATTCTATTTTATTCCGGTTCAAAATGAACAAGACTAACTTAATCAGAATGTCGAAAATATTAACTGTGATCCAAGTCGTGAAGCCAGATCTTACCCTGGTCCGTTTAACCCCCCATGACGTGCAACATGTCATGTTTCTATTTACTTTTTTCAACATAACGTGCGGACATCTAATAGTATGTTGATTCGAGCCCTCCTGGGGATATTGTGTTTACCACTGCTCCACATAGAAGGCACAATTGAATAAGCTGAAATCGATTGTCAGCATGTAATTAGGTTAGAAAGAGTACTAGTCGGGTCTTTTTGGGTAATAATTGACTTTGAATAAGCTACTGCTTTCAAAGAATCTGGAGGTAAGTTTATTTTCAACCATATGTAAAAATGCGAGTTTGTAAGAAGATGGTGGTAAATTAAGTTTATTTGAGAAGAACCAAAGAGTTCTAAGGTTATATGAGGACATGGTATTTGACAGGACATGTCACAAATGGGCAATGCTGTGCTCTGAATAATACTGGTCAAAAATTGTTATAATAAAATAAATATTTCAGTAATTATATCAGTATTTGTACGACTACATGTACCAACATATAAGCTATTTCGTACAGCTTTACTCAATTTTGTGTTAGTGCTACTGTTCATGTAAGTTGAAACCTTTAGCACATTTTACAACGGGATATAATGCCCCACTGCAAACTTTGCCTGCCAGAACACTTTTTGATACTACTTCGGAAGCACAACATTCTTAACTCAATACTCCATCTCTCAGGAGAACGTTTCAAACACAAACCTTTCTTTTTAGAGCTGCATCACTATGGGATAAGCTTCTTTCTACATGCTTTGCAAATGGGTACAACGTTAAAATTTTTAAGCCAACAAATATCTGTCTTCATCAGTACCCCCTAGTAACCCAAATCATTTAAGTGGATCGTATGACCCTTGGTTTGTCTAAATATATTAATGTGTTTTTTTATACTAAAAAGTAAATGTTGTACATGTAGATCAACCTGTTGCTAATGCAATATCATGTAAAAATGATCACAATGCAAAATGAATATGAAATCTAGGATTTTTTAATCAATTGCAGTTATTATAATTCAAGAGACTAGTACTAGTAAACAATGTTTACATGCATATAAATCGTTTGTCCAGAAAATGATTTGCGAACGTCACGTTAGAGTTTTTTCTGGTATAGACATAGAAGTAAACACACGACCACCATATTTACATTAAAAACACTGTCTCTGGCACATCCAAACACTAGTGGACACACAACACAAAAGCGCAGTTTCTTTATACAGAAAACTAAAGCCTGCCCTTGCAGCTGAACCCTCGATAGAAATTGCCCGGTGGTGTGTACCTTTACGTGGAAGTCTTTGATATATATACATACTAACAAGACAAATCGGACTCCGCTTATCCGTACGTTTATGGACGACTGCTGACTGTGTAGAACTGCTGACTGTGAAGGACGATGTAGGAACCATCCCGTTGTTATGGTGCAGGCTCCACAGTGACATTGTTCTTTTTCTTCTTGTACATCAGGAACCCGCCTACGGCTAGTCCTGCTCCCGCTACAGCCATGATCGCTCCGACCACGCCGCCTGCTACCGCCCCGCCCCGTGCCTCGCCCTTGTTGGCGGCGGCGGATCCTCCCTCTCCCGGCCGGCTGGTGGTTAGCGTCGCTTCACCTGACATCGCAGTGGTCTCTATGTTAGCATCACCACTAGTTGTAATGGTGGTTGTGCTTACAGACATGGTGGTTGTAATAGCAGGTGTGGTGGTTGTAACTGGCGTGGTGGTTGTAACAGCAGGCGAGGTGGTTGCAAAAGCAGTCATTGTGGTTGCAAATGCAGGCATGGTGGTTGTAACGGCATGCGTTGTGGTTGTTTCAGCTGGTGTGGTGGTTGTAACTGTAGACGTGGTGGTTGTAACAACAGGCGTGGTGGTTGTAACACCAGGCGTTGTAGTAGTGGCGGTCTCAGTTGTAGTTGTTGCTGTAGTGGACGAGCAATGAACAAGAATAAAGGAAAGAAAATAATGGTAGATTTATTCTATGATACCCAATGACGTCCAAAGGAATTAATGTCAGGTGGTTTAAGAAAAATTAGGATATAAATTGAAAAAGAATTAACTAAATCCTTTTAGTGACGTAATTTATCAATGTGAATGGCAGCCCGCTGAGTGGACGCCTCGAAGCAGGTAATTACCAGACACAAAAAAGATGAGGGAAACGCATACCTTCATTTATCTGACAGATGAATCCTCTACGATAGCTGCAGCCTCTTGGGTCCCACGTAGACATGTATGTATTTAGTTTCGTGTGTGTTATATGTGTGGGAGTGCGGTTGGGCCGAGGGTGTGTCAGTATTTATGTGCGTGTGTGTATGTACGAGTGTGTGTGTGTGTGTGTGTGTGTGTGTGTGTGTGTGTGTGTGTGTGTGTGTGTGTGTGTGTGTGTGTGTGTGTGTGTGTGTGTGTGTGTGTGTGTGTGTGTGTGTGTGCATCTGCGCTCGCTCGCGCGCGTGTGTGTGTGTGTGTGTATGTGTGTTTGTGTGTGTGTGTGTGTGTGTGTGTGTGTGTGTGTGTGTGTGTGTGTGTGTGTGTGTGTGTGTGTGTGTGTACGTATGTGTTCATGACATTTTAAGTTTGTGTGTGTGACTGTACGTTCCCTAGTCACTGGTATGGTTATGGTTTTCAATAAAGGTATTTTACAACATAACATGAAGATCTACCTGGAGCACACAGAAGCACCTCCATTCTCATGCTGGGATGTACATGGACCGTCTGCGGGTAAAACCGAACAAACCTTGCCGTGACCGGCGGGTCAAGGAGGTGTTCAACTTCGGTATTCTTGTCGGTGTTACCTGCAAACACCTATTAAGTCAAAGAAAATAATAAAAGCGCAAAACAAATAAAAAGTTCGCAATCTGCTTTTTAAAGCAGATATGTAGTTTTTATAAGATAGTATTTTTTTTATATTATTAGGGTCATGAAGGGATAATTGAGGATAATATCTTAATGTTTAGAAACACGTTTCTTATCTTAAATTTTAGTTAATATTACTTGTTTAACAGCAATCTGGATGTTATTGTACGATATATTTACATATCAGAAGAGCTTTATTTTCTCCATATATTAGTAAGCTTTATATTTCTACAGATAATTGCATTTTAGTAGGTTCCCATTGTCAAAATGTTAATGTCAATGGGGCTTAGAATTGTAGGCCTAATGCTATAAGATAACGTCTGTTTCTAACCTTTTCTTGTCCTTGCTCTGAGTATGTTTCCCACACGACGCCATCGGAGCTTAATGCTAGTTTATAGCTGGTCACCCACTGAGATATAGAGTAGCGGTCCTCTCCTCTTCCTTGTGTGATCACACCTGCTACACTGGTCAGTGAATTCAGATCAACCTAATATGAAAACCAAATCAAAAGCATAATTAACTAGTAATGTAAATTTACCGTGCAAATAATTATCAAGTTTTGATGTATGTTATACGTTTGTATCAGACAAAATTAGGCAAACTTTCAAATGAACCCTTATCAGGCAAGCAAAGTGATCTCGATCCGGTTGTAACTTGCTGGGTAGCTTTTCTCCCAGTGGTCGGAACAGAAGACAGAAGAGCTTTTGAACGAGCACAATAAACAGTTAAATAGGGCTTGACGTCATGTTCTAAGGAACGGGTTTTTTTTGCTTTTCTCCCAGTGGTCGGAACAGAATACAGAAGAGGAATACGCACAGTATTTACAGGTTTCTTGTACATAAATATCAATAAACAATGGAGCAGGGCTTGACGTCATGTTCTAAGGAACGGGCTTTTTTTTTGTAATAGCGTGCAAGTCAGGTAAGCGAAATCAGCCGGGATTCGAACTCCCAACTTTTAGGACCAGAGGCAGGGTCGCCAAACATTGGATTCGGCACGCATGCCCGAGACGACTATGCTAGTCGAATGGATCGATAGGATGTCATAGTTTATGTAGTAGATATAAGTTGAAATATTGTACCTGAAGCCACTGACCAGACACACTATTGGCGCACCATGCTGCTGCGTATGGGAAGCCCGAAGACTCTGATTCCGAGTTTAAGATTGCCTTCTCTGTTGAGCAGCTTGAGTGGACGGAAGATGCTGTAATCGTGGCGGCGGCATTTTCCATGCCCGACGGCTGCACGCTACACGACTCTGTAGGAATAAACATGCGTTTTGAAGCTGTTACATTTAAACACACACGGAGACAGAAAACAGAGACAGGGAGAGAGATCGTGGGGCGGTGGGAAGAAAGAGAGAGTGGGAGTGAGAGAGAGATTTCAATATTTATCACGAGCGAGGGCAAGAGAAGGATATTTATGAACTAAAAGTGCTCCAGCAGTGTGTTTACCAAAAAAGACAAAACTGCAAATAGATGTGAACTAGACCGTCTTACCAACGTTAATTAGCATGACTAGTAGACCAACTAAACAAAGCAGGGTGTTGGCAACGTTGTCCGGCATGTTGTGACATTTCTTTCTGTATGGTCTGGTGTCTGAATGACAGCCCCCTGGTGACACAAGCCGTTCATCATGTAACTGACCTTAACAAAGAATCTAAACTTCGTTAGTAACATTGCACTCTAATGTTTCCTCTAGATGTCAAAGGTCTTTTCTGATGACGCACATGCTTTATTACCTTCTTGTGTTTAACTAACTATATTTTATATATTCTATTTCATTCCGGATCAAAATTAACAAGACTAACTTAATAAGAATGACGAAAATATTAACTGTGATCAAAGTTGTGAAGTCAGATCTTAACCTGGTCCGTTTAACCCCCATGATGTCTAACATGTCATTATTTACGTTTCCAACATAACAAACGGACATTTAATAGTATTTTGATTCGAGCCCTCCTAGGGATAAACGATGTTGTGTTTACCGCTGCTCCACATAGAAAGCACAATTGAATAATATGAACTCGATTGTCAGCATTTAATTAGGTTAGAAAGAGTACTAGTAGTCGGTATTTCTTTTACAATAATTGACTTTGAATAAGCCCCTGATTTGAAAGAATCTGGAGGTAACTTTATTTTCAACCGTAAGCGGATGGCGGTAAATTGAGTTTATTGGAGAAGAACCAAACATATCTAAGGTTAAATGAGGACAAGGTATTTTGGCAAGAGTAACATGTAGGAATGTCACAAACAAAGGGACCATACTGTGCTCTGAATTATACATGTCAAAGGGTTTTTTAGATATTTCATCAAATATATATATATATATATATATATATGTATTTTACTACTACATGTACCAAAATATGAACATTTAAGGACTAAAACTAATACACAAGACTAAAGCTTTCACACGGCATCCACCATCTTTCTTCGGCTACTGACGAGGGCAGTCACGTGACCCAGGGGTTGAAAGATCAGCACAGGTCACGTACATGTAATTGGACGAGTGTGTTGTAGCTGCGTGTTATATTTCGCACAGTTTCTAATTGAACAGGGATGATTTAAACTAATAGGACTTAACGTAGAAGCATCCATACAGCACCCTCAGCACCCTGGCCTCTGCCTTTAGCTTTTGACGAGGACGCCAGGTGACCTTAGCGTCAAAAGGTCAACACAGGTCACGTTGTTATCAACAAGTTGATGTTTACAAGATCCATATCTCCCTGGTCCTGAAAATCATTCACACTCAAGTAAACACGCATGCACCCTAATGTTTAAAGGTAATATCCCACGAACGCTGTATCAATGACAACTTCCTAAATACATTAGAATGCAATGGCCCGTCTTCTGGGTACAATTTTTCTCTAACGGTACGATAATATATATTCTAACAAAAGATTTAACTATTAAACATACAAGAAGGCAAACAAAAGGTTTAATGAATGTAGACTTTATTCAGATCAAATACAATCCACTTCTAAAGGCTACGGAATAGAACGGTAATTACCAAACGTAGTTGCATGAAAAGAAAGTACAGTAGAAGCATACTATGTTATTGTAACGTAGAGACTGTCTAGACAGTCACCAAAACGTAAGTTTTGATTACAAAATAATTTGATTACAATAATGAAACTTTATTGCATGTTCATTCCCCGGGGGATAAATGCATGGATGTACAAAGTACAATGTACTAGAGAGTACTACAATAATAGTAAAAAAGAAAAGGTAACATTAGGTCTAAGGTATACAATGCTGAAAATAAAATTTAAAAAAAGAAAAAAATATATATAAGTGGTATTGATCTAAGTTCTAATAGCTTTTTCTCTCTTTTTGAAACATTTTGAAATATACTTACATACTTCATTGATGACGTCTATATTTGTACATGATATATTTAAAAGTGTCTTCCTCCTTCGATAATGTTTTACATTTTTTTGTCGAGCTTTATTGAACTGAACATTTACGTTCGTTATCATGTAATTTACAGTCAAGCATAAAATGCGATTCATCTTCAATAGAATAATTGTTACAGAATGTACACAGTCTATCTTGTAACGGTGTACGGCTATGTCTGCCAGATTCTATGTGTAGAGGGTGGTCGCTAATACGGAGTTTACACATGGCTCTGCGGTTTTCAAAATTTGGGATGTCTAAATATGGTTCTCTGTCGTANNNAAGGTATGTGTAAAAGCTTGTTATGTTTAAAATCTGGCCCTGTGATTGGAAGTTGGGGTTTCTTTTATTACCTGTTCGCATATTCTTAGAAAAAATCATTACTTTAGTTTTATCTCTATTAATTGAAAGTTTCCAGAGCGAACAGAAGGTATCAAGTCGTTTTAGGCATTCTTTCAGACCTTTTTCTGATTTTGAAAGGAGTACCAGATCATCTGCCCATAGGAGACTGTTAATTGGAGTATCCCCGAGAGTGACGGGGTCGCATAATGGGGATGATAACTCAGAAGGGAGGTCATTTATATATAGGTTAAATAGAAGTGGACTAAGATTGCATCCTTGGCGCACGCCGCGAGTTGATTTGAAGTAGTCTGATAAACCATTGGGTGTTTTGACGCAGTATTGTACATTGGAATACATGGATTGAATAATTTTAAAGAATTTACCCCCTATGCCTGACGATAGTATCTTGTAGTAAAGGCCGTTCCTCCACACGGAATCGTAGGCTTTTCGAAAATCAACGAAGCAAGCGTATAGTTTTCCACCAGGTTCAGCCAGCTGTTTATCAATGATAGTTTTAAGTATAAATATATTGTCGCTTGTCCTAAAATTCTTGCGGAACCCAGACTGAAAGGGAGTTAATAATTTGTTGTCTTCTAAAAAGTTTTGTAATCGATTATTTAAAATGATAGTGAAAAGTTTTCCAACGCAACTAGAAATTGCTATACCTCTATAATTTGATGGGTTTGACATATCGCCGCTTTTGTATATAGGAACAAGAATGTTTTTACTCCATTGGTGAGGAAAGTTACCGGACTGAAGGATGAGGTTGAACAGTTTCTTAATTGGTTGAACGAGTTTGTTTTTACCGCATTTTAGCATTTCGTTTAAAATGGAGTCTGAACCACAAGCTTTGTTGCCTTTTAGTTTCTGTAGTCCCGCTATCATTTCTTCCTCTGAAATGTCAGAATCTAATGGATTTCCTGTTTCATTTTCAAGGCTGTTGATAATATTTTCTGTGTATTCCTTATTTTCACTGTCAATTACAGTGTTATTATCAGCTGTCTGCAGGAGGTCTGGTCTCTTATGGTCGATATATTGGTGAAAACCTGTATCAGATTCATTACTGTTAACAGAGTCGTTCAGGGATTCGAAGTGGGATTTCCATTCTTCAGGACTAATGTTATTGTTTTCATCAGGTTTGTCATTGTCTTCCTGTCTTTGTAATTTTATCTCTTTCCAAAATTTTTGTGGGTTTGTTTTACTAAGGTTATATAAATTATTCCATTGTTTTTCCTTAAATAGTTTTCTTTCTGTCTTGATCATTTTCTTGTAAATCTTGAGGTTACTAAAATATGCATGGCGGATATCAAGTTTCCAGGGACATTTCGAAAATTCAGCAGCTAAATGGTTGATTTTGCGCCTGAGAGAAGCGCAAGACGGGGTGAACCATGGTTTGTTTTTCTTTTTCTTTTTCTTTCTTTTCTTGTGAATAATCTTTCGTAGGGAATTGTCTGCTACATGTGTTATTATATCGGCGACTTCTTTAACGGCGCAGTCCACATTTCTGAAAGACTTGTCCATAAAACTTTGGATGTGATTTAGGGTTGAAGAATCTTGCAACGCTTTTGAGAATTTTTCTTCAGATAAATTGTCCCACATATATTTTGTTGGTAGCGGATATGATGGGAAATTATCTTGTCTGAGATAAGGCGAGTAATTTGTAGAGATTGAACAGGTTATCATACAGTGATCCGAAAATATAGAAGGGTCGTCCACTTTGAAATATTGTACTTTGGGTAGGAAATCTGAACTAACAATGCAGTAGTCTACTAGGCTTGATCCGTTGTACTTGTGGCAGGTAAACCTCCCTGAAAAGTCTCCTGCTACCCTACCGTTTACGATGATTAGATTAGCCGAAGAGCAAAGTTCTACCAGTTGTTTGCCATAATTGTTCACACTTTTGTCGAAATTTGACCTATACCGTATATCCTCTTTGAAATCTATGAATTCGTGATCAAGGCATTCATCTTGGATAGCAATCTCCTGCAAGGGCCCTGTTCTGGCATTCAGATCACCTAACAGCATTATATTACCTTGGCTTGAGAATTTGCAGATGTCATCTTGTAGAATGTCAAAAAGTGAGTTGTTTCTTTTATCGAGGGAAGACGAATTTTCAGGAGAAAAGTATACGCAACCTAAGAATAAATCCCGATCTAGACCGAAGAAAGTTTTGTCTAATTTACACCATAAGAAATCGGGGTGTTTCGTAGGAAGTTTTGTGAGGCCCTTCATCAGTCTGTTACGGAACATAATGATTACCCCACCGGAGTTCCTTTTCGCAGACTTTTTAGCGTTCCTGTCACTTCTTATATAACTAAAGGAGTCTAATCTAAAGTTTTCCTTAGGATTTAGCCATGACTCTTGCAAACATACAAAATCATAATCTTCTAAACATCTAACAAAATCATCGTTCTGGCATTTTCTCCTAAGGCCGCCCTGAACGTTCCATGAACAGAACCTCAGAGCTACCTTTTGAGCTGACATAATTGAAA